AATTTTTTTTTTTTTTTTTTTTTTTTGGGCAATGAGAAGTACCTTTTATAATGGCACTACAATTTGAGTGCAATTTTCAAGACTTAAGCCATTCATTCACTGGCACATCAAAAGATCTCATGTTGCTCTGTAGTGTTTGTGTGAGTTAACTGAATGGCCCTCCACACCGTCATTAAGGGCTGAGAACCACAGGGCCGGTATGTGTCTAATGAAGGCTCCTTACGTGTACTACTTACCTGTAATCAGGCCCGCTGATTTCTCATTGTACGGTCTACTTTAAACCCTCTAGTGTGTGCGGCCATACATCATTCCCAGCTCCGTGTGTGTGCGTGTTTGTGGACACTAGGCTTTTCCATCCTGTGTAGGTTTTTATGTATACAGTCAGCAGAAAATTCTCCCATATTACCTGATTATTTTCCTTCGTTATTGCTCTTAATTTTTCTACCTAAAATAAGGTTAGTGAAATAAATAGTGTAATGCAATGTAATTACTGTTACCTTGGATTCCAGAAGTTCTGTTGGCAAAGAATAATATTTACCTTATTTTTTAATGTTTGAATATGTGCTTGCCTCTTTTCTTTTTAACTCACCACAGGCATTGGAACCAGTGGCTTCAGCCCAAGACAAACTCACCAGTTCTCTCCCCAGATTTACCCTTCCAAGTAAGGCTTCTTTTATTTTTCTTTAAAAAAATAAGCTGCATCCAACTTCATTTGGGCCTTTAATTAGATCCTTCTGCCAGATTCTGGACTCTCCGGCTGCTTTGTTTTCATTGATGTCTGCAGCTTGCGTACTCCAAAATCTGTTGTAATTATTATCTTGCAAAAATGTTCCTCATGATTTATTTTTCTTTCGCAATGTATATCAGCTGCTTAATGGCTAGATTTTTCTCCGTTTCACAGCTTGGCCAAATATTTATGATTAAGTAGCAGAATCACAGAGAATTAGTCTTTGAGAAAAATTTCGATATGGGCTTTTGGGTAAAAATACATGTCTCCCTTTTCTCTTACTTTGCTCTCAAATAGCAGACCCTATCCACACATTCTTCCGACTCCTTCCGCCCAAAATATGGCCGCGTACGGACAGACGCAATATACCACAGGAATGCAGCAGTCTGCTGCCTATGGCACGTACCCTCAGCCAGGCCAGCCCTATGGGATTTCAGCCTATGGTAACTGACTCAGTTCGTTCTTTTCTATGCTTTAAAGCTTTGCAATTCAGATTGTGCTTTGCTTTTCACTCAAGCAGATGAAATCCCATACTTATGAAACATTTACTATATTGTCTGCCATAGTATTAAACTAAATTTATTTTTATTATTTAAAAAAAGGACTCTTCATTTAAAAAAACAGTTTTTTTAACATTTAGAACGTTTTAGAATTTTTTTTACGTTTTAGAATTTTTGGGTTAAATGTTATAGAATTTTTTTGGTCATTTTTAAAATGTATTTATTTATTTACTGACAGTGATGGAAATGTAGACAGCTTTATAAACATTTGAATTATTATTATTAATATTATTTAGGAATAATATTAAAAACATTTTTGGCAAATAATCATTTTATAAGATTCGTCTTGCTCACCTGCATTTCATAAATAAAATATTTCTACTGGGCAAACATTACCTAAGTAATATTCATGAGCGGGTTTTGTGAGGTGTCTCTCACTTTTTGGATATTTCCTTATTTTTTGACAATTGTGGCCAATATTTAATGTTGTTTGGTCCTTCTAATGCATTTAATTCAATTACAAGTCATCAAATGAGATGCCGTTTAATTTAGCATTTAGCATTTGTAGCATTTTAGGTGCGTTCCATTCGACCGTAAGTGGACTGCGAAGTGGACCTTACAGGGTATTCCGCCATCTTAAGTGAGATTCCAACCCAAAGGGAGTGAACATGTTCAGTTCGAAGGGTACTCAAATAGCACAAGTATAGTAAACATATACATTTTGACTTTATTTATTAAATACCAAATTGTATATGTATTTTATATGTATTTAAATTTGAAAGTAAAATAAATTACAATATTTGTGTTATATCATAATCTGCGTGATCTTGTCATTGCCTTTCTTTGATGACGTCCCAGGGCATTTCAAATGAATAATTATTGTCAGCAAAGTCCACTTCGACGAATATCCCGTGCATAGGGAGTAGGGAGCAGTGAACACTGCATAGGGACCCTGTCAATCGGAACGCACCTTTTGTCTCATACTTAGCATGTAGCTTTAAGATCAATTCTAAAACTTAGCTAACAACGTGCTGATCACTAAGATTAGGCTAATGCTTAACTCAGCCCTTAGTCGCTCCTTTTCCCGCCTTCAATCGAAACGTGGGACTCTGCTGACCTTTCGTTTTGCATTTGCAGACTCCGTGTCTCCTTTAGACAGTTACTAATTTTTTGCTAGTTTGACAGATAAGAGAGATATAAAGATTTCAAGCCCTCGTCTACACACTGTGAGAGCCCAATTCAAGCTAGAAATGTTTTTCCAGGGGTTTGAACGTTATGAAACCTTTGTGAAAATATGCGCACAGATAATGTTGTTTAGGTAGAACGATCTCGAAATACGCTCCCGAGAGTTCACGTGTTTGATTGAGTGGAAGCAAAACGCAAACCTGCATTGGGCCTGATTCAATCTAATCAAAAAACAGGTTTGTTTTAACTCCAACCAGCAAATTCTTGGAAGTCCATGCTGAGTTTGGCACAAACACTTCAATGCAAAGGTTGCTTGGACCACGGCCCAGTGCAAAACAAGCCACCGTTATCTTTTATTCTCGATTGACGTGGAAGGAGTAACACTGAGGATTGTGCATCATGCTGCTCTGGTGTCACTAACTGATTTAGGTCCATTGTGGGCAGGCATCAAGACAGAGGGCGGACTGACCCAGGCTCAGTCTCCAGGCCAGAGCGGCTTCCTCAGCTACAGTTCCAGCTTCTCCACGCCTCAGACGGGACAAGCACCCTACAGTTACCAGATGCAAGGTCAGGAACACCCTCTACTCTTTTCCTCTTCTGCTCTTCCCGGTGGAGTGACAAAATAGAGCCGTGATTCCTCTCTGGCCCCCTTCAAAGGAGGACACAATTAATGGCAGACACGGACCAATTCATAACATCCCCGAGCAGATGGTTGTATTGGGTTGTAGATAGACACAGTCTTTTTTGCATTAGGCCTGAAGAGAACCAACACAGATGGAAAATCCCTTTTTCCTCTTTAAGACCAGTCTTTTTCTCCTTTGTGTTCGGCCATGTACTTTCTTAAGTATGTTTGCTTTAGAAGGAACTCTCGTGACTCTCATCTTTGAGGTCAGTTCATGGAAGTCACACTTGCGTACTGGGAACTAAACGTGCATCAGGCAAACTCTCTGCCACCCAGTTTTTTTTTTTTTTTTTGAGACATTGTCCCTACTCCAAAAGCAACAGTCTTTTTCTGCCCTTCTTTTTCTCCCATCTTTCTCCCTCTAGTGTTTTCCTTCGAGCCTCCAACAGTTAGCGCCGGTTTGAGTTCTCTAATCTCCAAATAATGTGTGACAGTAGAAACATCTCCACGTTTTTGAACGCTCTCCAGAGCATCTCACAATAAATAATGTGACATATGTGGTCTGTTGAAGCTTCTTTTCCATGCCTCATAAGTAGAAACGTTCTGCTTCTGCTGATGCTGCCTCAACACCAGGGTTGTAAGTGTTACCCTGTCCCAACCGCAGAAGTTTAAAGGCCTGTTCACACCGTTCAAGTCCAATGAAACTAAATGTCATGAAAGTATAGAACCCAAAGAATGCATCCAATGGTGTTTGATACCAAATTTTAGTAATTTTAGTTCTTTTTTTTTTACACCTAAAGGACCTTGTTTAGCCTCCAGATGATACAAAATCAACATAGACATCAAGTAAAAGCCAATGAATGTTTATCACAGTAGAAATGCATCGTCTCATTTTAATATTTTGCTGTGAATTTTGACATTTTTGTGCCAAAATTTGGCAAGAATGGTCCTTGAAGATATAGTTCACCCAAAAAAATTTAAACCCTCATGTCACTCCAAACTTGTTGGAAAACAAAAGGAGATCATCTTCACACAGTTATTTTCCAAAAAAGGGGACAGTTCATGGTGAGCATCTCTGTCAAACTTCTTTTTACCAAAAATAAACGCATACAGGTTTGGAATTACATGATGTCAAGTAAATAATGATAGAATTTCCATTTGTAGCATGAAATATCTCTTTAACTGTCATTTCACAACGACACTCCATTGACTTTTTTGTAAGTCAGAAACTGAGGTGCCTTCAGTCTTCCTTTCAAAGCCCATGCAGCCATAAACACATTAGCCACTAACTGCAAGAGCAGATGACAGATGACCATTAACCAGGCCAGTCTGTCTCTATTGGCTTCCTCTCGGTGCCTCATCGATTAGGCAGGTCTGGACTCAGAGGAAGAGACTCAACACGGTAGCAAATGTAGACCCCCCCCCATCTATATGATACCAACTGCTGTCCCATAACCCTAGTAGAGCGAGCCTGCACCCAGCTGTCAGAGGGAATACGATTAAATTAATGTTTTTACCCTGCTCTTTCATGTCTAATGGAACGGCGCTGGCTTTCTCTGATCATGATCCAGAAATGTTACACAGAAGGACCTTCCTGGCTTGAAATGTCATCACAGATTGTTGGGTTATCATAAATTGAACAAAATAGTGAGAGAATATGGCAATGTTAACTGATATTATTTCAGATCAAAATTCGGAGTGTTAGTGATCAGGCTTTTGTTCAGTTATATTGAAATTTCAAAAAATAAATAATATGTTGATTTCTAAAGCCACTTTTTGTAATGTCTATTGAGTTATTTGCTGGTTTGCCAAAATATATTTTTTTTAATATATAATTTCCTTTTTGGAAGGGGAGGTTTCTCAGCAAATATTTATATATTTGATAAATTGTGGTGACTTAATTTGCTTCATTAATAATTATATATATAATATACAGTATATAGTTCATTTTATTTTATTTGAACATGAACTTTAATACAGATAAATATTTTCAATTAATTAAAATACAAATAAAATGATCTAAGTTAAATCTATCTATCTATCTATCTATCTATCTATCTATCTTAGTGGAAATTTGAATCGCTCTACGCCAATGTGCCAATGAATTGTAAGACTTCTTGATGGCCTCTTGATTTCACTCAGTACATCCAAGTATAAATTAGGAATTAATTTTCCACTTTCACACCTGTTTGAGCTTTGCATCCTTTTCCATAACCATAATGGCTCTAAAGCACGAGTGGAGCCATAGAGCGGCTTCTCTCACTGATTTTCACTCAAAGTAGATGATAATTACAGCAACAATTGGGCCTCCCTCCATTCTGCACACCGTGTGAGAGGAGCAGCAGACTGCTTTTTAAAGAAGCCCATCTGGACTTGATCGCTTGCTCCCTAGAGAGGCCTACAAAACTTCTGCTACAAATATTGTGCACTGATGATAGACATAGCCCATGGCAAGAGGACTGATCAAGCACAGCAAATGGACTCCCAATTGGAGAGGCCATAAGGAGAGCCAGTGTCTCGTCTTGAGTGAACTAACTGGAGCAAGACAGAGCGGAGAGGGGGAGGAACGGGGGAGTTTTTGCCCCTGGGAAAAACCAGGCCTCTCCCCAGCATGGAGTCATTCTTTTGGGACCGGAGGGGGTCTTGCTTGGCTTTTATGTGGCTCCGGACTCTCTCTGGAGTCAACTGCTTTCCTACGAGTCCTGGCTTTTATGACTTTTTGAACTGTGGATTTAGCTAATTTGTTGTGCATTGGGAGATTCATGTGTCTCACTTTATGTGACGGCTCAAGTCTGGGGAGGAAGTCAACAGCTTTTAGAGCACCTCTTGCTGTTCTTTGAAAACAAGAGATAAAAAACAAGAAAAAGAAACAAACTTGCTTGTTGAGCCAGACAGTAGTCCACACGTAAAGCTGTTGTATGTTTGTTACAGTCTGAGGGGCCTCATTTTCCTAAATACAAGAAGATGAAAGACTTTGCTTCTGTTTTTTTGCTGAACAAATGTCCAGTTACCCTTTTATGTAAACACATTGAGTTAATGTTGTGCCCATTTTGTGTTGAGGGTGTTGTATAATTGATGATTCCAGGGTTACCCACAACTTTTAGCAGCAGGTATTACAGCTGTTCATTAGTTGATTTCCTGGTTATGTTAGCGTAAGAAAAATTCTGGGAAAATGTGCTAAAACTGATTTAGAAGAATATTCTGCATTCAATACATGTTAAGCTCAATTTACAGCATTTGTGGCATAATGTTGATTATCACAAAAAGTAGTTTTGACTAGTCCCTCATTTTCTTTAAAAAAGCAAAAATCTAGGTTACGCTGAGGCATTTACAATGGAAATGAATGGGGTCAATTTTTTGAGGATTTAAAAGTTGAAATGTAAAGTTTTTAAGTTTATAAAAGTACTTTTTCTTAAAAGTAAATTTTCTATTGAAACTTGTATATTATTTCAGCTGTGCAGTTGCTTTCATCATTTCTACGGAAGTGTTGTTATAGTTTACTAAAACAGAAACTAACACTAGTTAAAAAGACACTATTAAAATGTTTTCTTAAAAAAACGGACATTAAAAAAAATTTAAATTAGAATTTTTGCCTTGGCAACTAGCTGAAATAAATATAGCTTAATATGAAATAATAAAATGACTAAAACTAAAACTTAAATGTAAATAATATATCAATAAATATAAATTAAAAATAAATATAAAGTGAAATAAAATGATAAATATATAACAAATAAAAATAAAAATATAATAAATGATAAAAGCTTTGAATAAATTGATCCAATTTACCTCCATTCTATGTGTCTCATTGTAACACAGACTTTTGCTTTTTTTAAAGAAAATCAAAATAAATTTCTGTCGATTGAGCTCAACTTGTACTGCACCCAGAATATTCTTCTACACCAGTTTTTCAGTCCGCGTGAGAATTCCAATTTGATTTGAGCACTGTGACTCCAAGAAGCACCTCAAAACGCAGCTTACCTCCAGGCTGTCTCGCCCCTATAACTCATGTCATGTATGTTATTAAGTCATTAGATGCTATCTCTCCATTGAGAGATTTAATTACCCAGAAGGTGCTTCTTTGAGCAGCTTGAAAAGAAGACAGATATACATATTCATTGAGGCAGGATGTCAGGTAAAACTTCCTCCCTCTCCCTCCCCCTCATTCCCAACAGTGGCCATGTGTCTGTCATTGTAAAGGTAGCGATGGATGAAATAATAGACCCAACCCCCTTTCCTCTTTCTTTCCGACCATCGGCCAAGATCCAATCACTGATATGGAGAAAGAAAAGATAGAGTCACTGTAATATCCCACCCACCAACACACACACACACACACACACACAATCCCTCATGCCCCTATAGTACCTGCAAGGCTTTGTCTTAAATGCCTTTGAGGTGTTTTAGGTCTTGCTTGACTCGACCCCCATCTTCAATTTAAAAATGTCATTTATTTTGAAGGTTATATTACACTTATCGTCCTCCGAATTACATCAGTTGCAAACAAAGCCTCATTTGATTTGATCTTTGTGTGTTTTTCATTGCGATAGCTCACGGTTATGTCTCTTTCTCTCATAGGAGGCAGTTTTACAACAACTTCAGGGCTGTACGCTGGAAGCAATTCCCTCACAAACTCGACTGGATTCAATAGTACACAACAGGTAGCTGTAATCGAATTTCTATCCCTCACTATCTAGTCTGTTGAAATCACATTTCCTCCATTTGGCACATGCTCCCAGTATTTTTTCCTTCCTCCTGTAAGCCTTTATAGAACATGTGTACGCTCGCATATTACTCACATGATATGAATCACTCTAAATGTCTCGACCACTGTACGCAAGGATTACCTCTTGCTCTTTTCGCGTATGAATTATGCCACGAGTGGAGGAAAAAAGAGTGAAGACAGATCGCTGTCCAGATGTAGTGCATAGGAGACATATGTTCACATTTACGTTTTGGAATCTGCGCTGTAAAGTAGCAGCGTTGTGTGCTATCTCACATTACGCATTGATGTCTTTCTGCAGGACTACCCCTCCTACCCAGCTTTTGGCCAGAGTCAGTATGCGCAGTATTACAACAGTAGCCCTTACACTTCTCCATACATGACCAGTAACAACACCAGCCCCACCACACCCTCCACCACTGCCACCTACACCCTACAGGAACCTCCATCAGGGGTCACCAGCCAGCCCCTCTCAGAGCAACCGGCAGGTAAGAAAGCTCGGTTTGAGTGAAAAAAAAAAGGTATGAAGGTCCTACAACAAGTTGCTGTAAAAACAAAACGTGATTGGTTAATTTTGCAATACTAAACCCTGGTGGTGCACTCGAAAATATCCCAATGTGCAATTTTCTGTATTGATTTTTTTTTTTACCCGTATTTTGAATTACGTATTGCAGTGTGCTATATTTTAGGATTAAAGGAAATGTCCCTAAACTTAATGTTAAAGAAAATTACCAGTACATTTTTAGTGATTCAATACAAATATATACTGGTACCATATTGGTTATCGGACTAATTAGTGAATTCTTTTTAGAAATATCAGTTGATTGTGCATAATTTCCAGCATTCTTTACATTTAGATTATCTTGCTGTCATCTAACACTCGCTCAAAGTTAATCTTTAAAAATTATAATAAAAATCTCAGAAACGATATAAATAGTTTGAAATATTTATATTTTATAAGTATTATAAAGTGTATAAATGTCATTTTTAAATGATTCATTTATTAAAAATCAATTGAAAAGAAAATTTCAAAATAATTTTTATTTATTATTTACTTTGTATATTTATAACAATTAGTGTTTTTAATAAATATCAATGTGTACAATTATCTATACAATTTATAAGATTTTTATTAGCATTTTCAAAGACTAACCTGAGTGTGTAATGTATGTGTATGCTTTATAGTGATGCTTAGCATGTAAAGTAATTTTTTGTTTTATTTTTTAACTTAAAAAAATAGTTTAGAATGTTAATATCAAATATTAATATTAATCTAATATTAATAGATTATTATTATTTATATCCATTTATTATTGTTCTTAATTTGTGCCATTTATCGATTATTGGCCATAATGTGAAAATAATTATCATCTTATCTGCATCAGCCAGAATTGATATTGCTTAGTTCTATAAAGAAGTAGTTGATATCCTCATACTGTATTTGATACTATCCACCTTTTTTCCAGAGTAACCGATGAGTGCCGCCATGATGGATTCTAACTTCCGTTTGGGTGCTCTCATGTTCCAGTCTCCATAGAAATTAATTAAACTTAAAATGTGTTAAAATAATATGTGCTCTGATCACTTTGCGTTCAGGAAAATGGTTGATATTGCCAGTTGTTTAGTCTATTTTTGCTCCTCCAATGACCCAAATTTTCTTACCTTTGCCTTGTCATGTAATTAGGGAAGGATGGTATGGTGCATAACACCCTCATTGCCATTACTAAGGCTTAAATAGTATCTAGGGTATAAGGAGATCAGATAAACAGCGTGATATTAGAGCATGTGGGCAGCAGCTACAGCACTGAACACTAGATGAGGTAAACGGATCCAGTCACAATGTGAAGGTGAAAGCCTTTTTTATTTTCCTCTTTTTGATATACTTTTTGCCTTTCTTTTTTCTCCTGCAGTAGAGTACAGTACAATCCAGAGTCCATCAACCCCCATTAAAGATTCAGATTCAGATCGATTGCGTCGGGCTTCAGATGGAAAGTCACGTGGCCGGGGAAGGAGGAACAATAACCCATCCCCACCTCCCGACTCTGACCTTGAGGTATTGGAACGCTGCCGCTCTGTCAATGTATCTAGCTGGAATCGCAGCAATTCATTAATTACTATTAAGATACTTTTGATTATCTAGAATTGTCCATTCTGCTCGCTGCTTTACCTTAAAAACAATGCATTTACATGTTTAAGAGTGTGTTTCCATGCTCAATTTTACGTTACAACATGTAAATACCCTAAACAGAGTTTTTTTGGTGAAAGCTTTGTTTTGCATGTTTTGCACGCTTAACATGCAAAAGCCTAAATCGGCGCTCTGTCAGTTTATTTTGTGTGCATGTCACATGTTTTGACATGAAGACTGGGGGAAAAAAAACAGACTTAAATCTCTTGTAAATAGCTTTCTTGCATTGTTACATTTTGCAAAAAGCAGATTTCCTAAAAATTGCCAGCATATTGACTCACTGGGTTCAAAAAATGTTTTGAATTTATTTATTTACATTTTTACAAAGATAATAAAGAAAATACAATTCCAATTGTGCTACTATTTCTACTTCAAAATTTTACATTTAATTAAATGTGTTATATGTGTGAAAATTGTTTCTACACCAAGAAGTATATTTTAGTGCTGTCAAACGATTAATCACGATTAATCGCATCCAAATGTTTTTGTTTACATAGTATATGTGTGTGTACTGAGTATATTTATTATGTATATATAAATACACACACATGCATGTATATATTTAAGAAAAAAAATTGTTACTTTTATATATTAAATATATTTATATATAGTATAAATTATATGAATATAAATATATACATGTAAATATATGTAAATATTTTCAAAATATATGCTGTATGTGTGTGTATTTATATATACATGATAAATATACTCAGTACACATACAAATATTATGTAAACAAAAAAATTATTTTGGATGCGATTAATCGCGATTAATCGTTTGACAGCATTAGTATATTTAGAAGTATATTATTTCTATCTCAATCATATTTGAGATGTACAGGTCATGGTCTTTTCATTAACATGACCTGAATCTCTGGAAGGTTTTGGCCCCATTAGCAAGCTGACATCATAGCATGTTAACAAATCTAGTTAATTAGTTTGTTGGTATCGATTGTGTTAATGCATCGGGGGCAGGAGATGGATTGTCCAGTGGTGGTTCTTCTCGCAGTTGCGGGGTGCTATGGTGACCATCAGTGCTGAATATCTACTGATCCCAGGGCGCATGAATCTATGCACCCTTCTTATTGACAATCAGATCATCTTGCATGCTGAGTGAGCCATTGATTTTGCTCTTTCTTTTCTCAGCGCGTGTTCATTTGGGACTTGGATGAAACAATCATCGTTTTCCATTCCTTGCTCACGGGATCTTACGCCAACAGATTCGGAAGGGTAAGTGATTTTTAGTGTATTTTAAATGCAAACAGGCAAATATTGCGGCGAAGTTTAGAAAAATGCACAGAAAGAGGGTCTGTTTGGGTATACCGTCCAGCTTCGAGGAACTCAGAGTTCAGTGTAATTGCTTCTTTTTTTAATAAGATCGTCGAGGCCTCGCAGGCATTCAGCTCGGCCTGCAGCTGTCTGAGTTATGTGGCTGGAACAGGCATGGATTACAAACCAGTTGCACCGAGAATGTCCAATGACACTTCTTAAGGGTTTTTTGTCCTTCAGAAATGGTTCATTAAGCTTAATTAAATGTTTGCATTAATTGACCTTTGAGTGGGGTTCATGTATTATAGCAAAGTTGATCAAAGTTGAGAAACATTGTCTTTAGTTTTAGAGTTATATATATATTACCGTATAAATAAAGGCAAAGAGTTCCTATATATATTTGAAAGGAATATGCATTTATTTGATCATACGCAATATTGTGAAATATTGCTACAATTTGAAATATTTTTATTTTTTATTTTAATACATTTTTAAAAAATTAGATTAGAATTTTCAGCATCATTACTGAAAATCATTGTAATATGTTGATTTGCAGCTCAAAAAACCTTTTTATTATCATCAATGTTGAAAACAGTTGTGCTGCTTAATATTTTGTGGAAACCATTTTACATGTTTTTTAAGAGTTATTAGATTAATAGAAAGTTTGATAGAACCGGATTTATTTGAAATAGAAATCTTTTGTGACATTATTAATGTCTTATGATCACTTTTGATGCATTTAATGCATGCTTGCTGAATATTTATTTTGAATATTTTGAAAGTATTAATTTCTTACTGTCCCCAAACGTTTGGATAGTGTATATAAAATTATTTTATTATACAAAATGTGTATTAAAATATATTTTTTAATTATATTTTTGTGTGAGAGTGGATAACATTTTTGCTTTTATTTATGGGATAATTTAATTAGGGCATAATGCCAAATTTAGCAGGTTCAAAAGGGTTATGAACATGCAATAAGAACTAGTTTACTTCTGCGGTTGTTGTATTTGTTATTTTATATAAACCGTCATAAGCTATATTTGAACTTTCAAAACAAACAATTTGGAAAATACGTTGATCTGCAATTCTCAGGCTTTGTCAATGATCTCATGGCTTTATTTAACTCACTCAACCAACCGTTGGTTCAGTTCACCAAATTATAATTTCACAAAATAGCCCTAAATCTGAGTTCAACATGCGTGTGTTTTTAAACCCTCTTTGTGTCTGAAGAATAGAAAGCTGCTTCCTTGTTTGAAGGAATAAATCACAGACTTGGCATTTTTTGGCTGAGCTTCTTGAAGGGTTTTTTCTTTGTGGTGAGTGTAGATGACAGCAGCGCTCGGATGTCAGTGGAACGGGGCCCGGCGGCTGGTTTGTTCTCTTTGTTCCTCAGTCAGGGTGTTTGATGGGGGTGGTGTTTTGTTTTAAGGGTGAGGGAGCCCTGGCCCTCGACCCTGCACTGTTTATTTACTTTATCTCGGCTGAGCATGCTGGGTAAAGAAGCGAAACTCCGAGAGCGCCTCAGCCGTGTCCACTCTCTCACACACACACACACACACACACACACACTTAAACTGAGCCGTCGGTGCAGCCACGTCTGATTTTAAGGTCCTAACCAGTTTTAAGTGTTGTGTGTTTCCTTATAGGTTCAAACAGAACCCAATCTGACGTTTCAGGTGTTACTATGGAAAAGTCACGTTTCACACTTAATAATTTCTGTCTATTGGGTTTTGATTGGTCAGAGGAACATACAGTACTTAAAGAATTTAATGGGAGAATTAGATGGATTAGAAATTAATTAGAGAGATTCATTTCAAATTTTCTGTTATTACTTACACTGAAAGTCTCAACACAAAATGATGGCTAATTATTTCAGTTTCACCTACACTAATGTTCGAAGGATTGGAGTCAGTAAGATTATATATATATATATATATTTTTTTTTTTAAAGAAATTACTACTTTTATTCAGCATGTATACATTAAATTGATACAAATTGACAGTAAAGATATTTATAATGTTACAAAATATTTATATTTTAAATAAATGCTGTTCGTTTGAACCTTTTTTATTTACCAAAGAAACCTGAAAAAAACTGTTTAATAGGGCCTATTATAAATTTTAAAAAAATAAATAAAACAAAATGTAAAAGTATTACGGTTTCAGCAAATTAGCATGAAAGAATTCTGAAAAAAAAAAAAAATCATGTTTTCCACAAAAATGTTCAACACTGAAAATAATTTAGCACCAAATCAGCATATTAGAAATAATAATAATAATAATAAAAATAAATAAATATAAATATAAATAAATAAAAAAGTATCATGGTTTCAGCATATTAGAATGAAAGAATTCTGAGAAAAAAAGTATCATGGTTTCCACAAAAATATTAAGCTGCACAACTGTTTTCAACACTGAAAATAATAAGAAATGTTTCTTAAGCGCTAAATCGTTCTTTGTCCTCCTCTCTGCTGTCGAAATCTGATTACACGTTGCCCTTCCACCAGAAATATGCTTATCCCATCTACCCTGCAACATCGCAAACCGCATAATGCTCTCTTAAATCATATCAGCACACTCATCTCAAACCCTTACATTAAAAACCAAGGTGCTTCACGTTTCTCCGATATGAGGACTAGATGACATAAACAGTAAGAAAACCCAGCAAAATGCATTTCTTCCAGCGAAACCGTTGAGGAAGAGCTCTATAAATAGAGCCGTGTTGGAGCGCTCACTGCTGTGGTTATCAGTTATCCTAATTGGCATCAGGGCATCTCGCTCCCATAAAGCTGATGGTTCGGGCCAGCTGTGTGGCCGTCAGCCCTGGAGGGAAAGCTTGCGGGGTGAGGGGGTTTCGGAGGGGAGGACTTGGCGCCCTTCGGGTGGCGCTGATGTTTGGGGACAGGTGGCAGCGAGAGCAGAAGACCCTCTGGCACTCCGGCCTGCTTGTATTCTTAACTCTCCCGCTGAATGATTGTTTAGATTTAATTGGAGAGGATTCGTCGGGCCAGAGAAGTGCACTTTGCATACCTCTCACCACCAAACCTGCTTTTATTAACTGTCAGATACTTACTCAGGTGTTTATATTAAGTCCACTGACTGGCAGGCTCAAAATAGATGGGAGGGGAGGACTGTTCAGACGTGTTGGAGAAGCACTTAACAAAGAAAGAACCTATTTTTGATTAGGCTATATATTTAAAAGCTTCTTTTATAATTAAAAGTAACAACTCAATAGTGTATATAAACTGTGAAATTATTGATCACTTTTTTCATAAACCCTCATGTTCTTATTCTCAGTCTGAGAGACTCCACGACTCTTTTAATAGCTCAGAAAACATACTTAACATTGAAGTATCAGGTTGATGACTTCCTGCACTCATGAGAACTGATTATAAGCATAATTTTAACTTGCTAACATGCATCCAGCGACCGCCGTGAAATATATTATTTTAGTTTGGGGTTTTGGAGACCTCAGATATAAATAAAGAATAATTGCAATGGATTTTCACATGCAAAAAATTGTAGAAGTGTGTGCCTGCCAATTTATGTTTTTTTTTTTTTTTTTTACTAATGTGTTATTTTTTTGTGAGATCAACGAACCCAAATCTGGAGTTCCTGTTGTTACTATAATATATAAAATTGACATTTCACACTTAAACATTTTGATTGGTACATGATAATTACATAATTGGTACATAATTGGAGTCTCTGAGAGTCAATCTCAACAGAACATGTGGGTTAATGTTTAAAAGTATAAGGTCAGTAAGGTTTTTTTTTAAAGAAATTAATATATTCATTCAGCAACGATGTATAAAATTGAGCAAAAGCGACAGTAAAGATATTTATAATATTACAAAAATATTTATTGTAAATACATGCTGTTCTTTTGAACTTTCCATTCATCACATATTCCTGAAGAAACGTTGGTTTCCACAAAAATATTAAGCTGTTTTCAACACTGATGATAAGAAATTTTTCTTGAGCACCAAATCAGCATATTAGAATAATTTCTGAAGGATCATGTGACACTGAAGAGTGGAGTAATGGCTGATAAAAATTCAGCTTTGCCATCACAGGAATAAATGACATTTTCAAACATATTTAAATAGAAAACAGTTATTTTAAATTGTTGTAATATTTCACAATATTACTTTACTGTCTTTTCAGCTTTGATGAGCAAACGAGATTGTACTGTGTATGAACAGAAAAAAAAAACTGTGTATCATCATAAATATACTAATTTGTAGATTATACTCAGTTTGAACATCAACTTAATAACCTCATCAGTTTCTTTGCTGGTGTTCTGTTCTTCTTGTGTGGTTTCCCCTCCCGCTGTCCGCAGTTAAAACATTTTCATTGTTGAGTGTGACATGTAATCAGTAGAAAGCTCAGGCGTTTCTTCAGGTGGCTTTAAGCTCTAATCCCTGCAGCAGAGCTCTCTGACTCAGCACGGCTGTACAGACACTGGAATAAATCCCCTCCTTTGCTTTCCTCTCTCATTCGCACACTTGCTTTATCCTCTTAATGAACAACGAGAGAGCAGCCACTGATTAGAAAAATAAGCCTGTGGGGAATGAAGATTACAAAAGATGATTTTAAATGTATTACTAGTCTAAATATCCATTTAATAAACCCTGCTGCCTTGTTTTAAGCTCGTACTACAGTGTTTCTTTGTTTCAAAACTGCGAACTGTCACTTTAAATGCACTGACTCCTAAATATGTGTAGTTCAGTTGAGATGAGAAAATTGACAATATATATATATACATGTGCAAAGACAAGTCTGTAATCATGAAAAGGTGTAATTTTGTAATGAGCTTCCTTAATGAGTGCTGACTAGGTGTTAAAGAGAAAAACACTCTGCAAATGATTCATTAACAATTTAGAGAGCAGTCGCTCCCATCTTTGTGTCAGCTCAAACACAACACGAGATCGCCATTACTGCCAGTATTGCATTACGGTGGAAACTGAATACATTGAATACATTTTAAAAAAGAGTCCATTATATTTTAAGTGAGTAATCCATTTTGATTACTGCCAGTGCACAGGTTTAAACATCACTCGCTAAAGCTGTTTTGTGTAGGAAAATGTGCATCTTCCTGTTTCTAGAAGTTTCTATTAAATTTCCAACTTCAGCCTTTCACAAATTGTTGGAAAATGCTTTATCTGATGTGAGAAGATTGTTTGGGGGAAATGGGGGTGAAATGCATCAGTAGTAATGTGTAGAAAGATGATCTTGGCTCTGAGGTATGTGTACAGTGATATATTTATGATGACACCTTGACCTCAAGCTCATTTCAACTCATAACGCATCTAAGATTGGGTTTTACTGCCTACAGAGTGTAAAATTAGATCTATCTATCTATCTATCTATCTATCTATCTATCTATCTATCTATCCATCTATACATCTATCTATCCATCTATCTATCTATAGTATCATCTATCAAGTCATATCTAAATGTTAAATATGTATATATTATCCAAAGTAATTATGTGAAAATGTGAAATATATAATATAGAAAATCTATGAAAGTGTCAGCCATTTATATATTCATATTTTATGTTTTTAATAAATAGGTATTATTATATTATACAATTATGTGTATTATTATATGTAATATAATATGAAGCATTTTATAAAATATTATTAAATTATTAAATATAAAATATTTTTAAAATTAAATATAACTTGTATAATGTAAATATGGAAAAATGTATGTGCATATGGCGTAAACCAAACATAAATATATCTTTATATGTATATATAATGAATACATTTCATTTATATATAATGAATACATTTCATTTTCATTAAGTATATATATATATATATGAGATACGTAGTATTATGTTCAAAATATCTTTTCCAAAGTAAATATGGAAAAACTTGTTAACCACAGCTAAAGATACTATTATATTATTACTGATTCTGAACAGTATATTCTTTATTTTTATATAGAAAGGATAATAATTTTTTTTTCTTGCTGTGTGTTTTTCAGGATCCACCAACGTCAGTGTCATTGGGACTAAGAATGGAAGAGATGATCTTCAACTTGGCCGACACACATTTCTTCTTCAACGACTTGGAGGTAAGTCCAGAACTTTCTGAGACTTTGGGGGATTCACGTTTTTTGCGGTCACCGTATCTTTCTTCACCCCCTGTGAAGCTTATTGCAAGTCCTCTAACACGGTGATTACTTCTACAGCTTGCTTTCTTAGCGGCCATATTTAAAACCCAGCCCCAAGATGTGGATAAGTCACAACAGAGTGTATACATTACATTACGAGCACAAGAGCAGTCCATTAAAGTTTAAGCCATAGCATCAACAACCATTTAATAGCAGGGTGCCTATTTCTCACTAACGTCCCTCAGTGGTGAAGTATTACCTCGGAGCCCATGGGACACTATGAATTTTACATGCGCTGTCAGTCTCCCTGGCCTGCGCCCACCACAGGCCCCCTCCCTTCCCTGCCGCCCAGGCCAATTTGTCAGCCTCTAATATTTCTGTACGTGCTCTGACTGTCTGCATGTCATGCTGTGTGCTCTGTGTCTCTGTCCGCTCCGGCCGCAGACTCTCAGTCACGGTCTGAAAGCGGCTGCTCTGCCCGCTCTGCCTGATTCATGTCGGATCAGTGTAAAATCTGCCCCCGGGGGCTGTTACTGAGAGGGTATCTAGGTGTCTGTCTGCCCCGCCTGGTGAGGGGTGAAAACGAGACCGGTAGGGTCACTTCTGCTCGTGATTGGCAGCGCTCCACGTGTTCATAGCAGTGAAGTTCAGTTTGTCCAGATCTGGTGTTGCTCGAGCTAACACTTCATTTAGTGATTTGAACAGATCAGCGACATGGCTTGTTAAAATAGCTTCAGGTCTGAAAATACAGACTGTGAAATAATTCAGCAAACCCACAACCCCTTAAAAGCTTTGTGTTAGAAAAAGACTAAAATTGAAGATGTTATTCACTGGAAATCTATTAAATTAATCAGTTGATTCGGTTCAGACAAAACTGTTCTGAATGATTCGTTCACAAAAAGAATAGATATGGTTCTGTACCATTTTTGATGTGCAAATTTCTAAGACAACTTTGCTGAAAAACCTGTTGTCTGATTGGCAGTCTATACTTTTTTTAGCAAGTAAAAGGCCTTTTAATATAATTCCTATATTATATATTTTTACTGTGAATTTTTTAGATAATGTATTTTTGCTGTGAATTTTTATAAACATTTTTATAAAGTAAATATAACCATAACTATTATATAGCTAGAAATATTTCAAGTTGAACACTTGCTGGACTGAAGCAGCTTAGGTTTACTTGATTATCCATACATCATTTTTTTTAGACAAATCATGTTAACATGTATCAAATATGATACAGGAACGTTTATGTGTTCATTTTTTCAGTCATCAGTGTATTAAATTGCATTTTTTGATTTCCCTGCCCAAAATTAAAACTACAGAACTTAAACATAAAACTAAGCATCTAAAAAAGCGTCTTACTAAGACATATTATTGGAGATAATAGAGTACCAGCTGATATTTTTATTAATTTAATACAAGTAGTCTGGTTTTAAAAGTCATAATTGATTTACATTACAAGCTATCATAACTTCACACTTTCTTACTTTTTGGCCATATAAATATCAGCAGCTGCACCAAATTGTATATTTTTGCTCAGTTTGGGCCTCTGAGTAAAATTGAGGTGGGTTTTTTTTTTTTCTTATTCTTCTTCCTTGAGTATGAGCTCCGTATTCTTACTATGTAATATACAGTATAAGCGATAAAAGCCTGATTTATCAAATATGACACAAAACACACAAACTTGTCTTTTTGCCTAAGTGTTAATTGAACAACCATGGGTAAAAAAATAAAATTTTCTGAATATTATTATTTTATATGTCAGGCTTTACGGGGTTAAACTCACTGATTACAGCTGCAGTGGAAGATTATCAGTGAATAAAAATACAAAAAATGCAGTCCCGCACAAAGCAATCATTTGACTCACATGCACAACTTTTATGATTCTTTGCCTCCTTTTTGAAATCTTCAGTCCAAATTCATTTTAATTGTATGAAAAAGAGCAGCTTGAACATTCTTCAGAATATCTTCTTTTGTGTTCCACTGAAGAATTCAAGTCATACGGGAGGGTGAATAAACGGATAAAAGAATTTTCATTTTTGACTAAACCATGCTTTTAAGTAGCAGACTTTGTGGACCAGATCTAACCAAGCCCACTGAACCCACCCGAGCCCAGACACCGCTGGCGAGCCACTTTCCCTCTTCCCCAGAACCTGACACCACTGACCCATTGATTTTCCTCTGTGTCCTGCTCGTGGCTGACCCCGCGGAGGAGGAAATGTTTTGTTTGATACTTAAGTGTGAGGAGAACTGTTGCGAGCCTGCCAAGTCTCATTAGTCAACGGCCTTGCTCTGCTTTTCCTGCCACGAGAACCAGGGAGAAAGAAAATGTTTGTGCTGCCCGAGACATTCGAGTGACGGGGAGATTCCAGTCGCACTCATCTTGATCAAAGTTAATTGGCAGCAATTGGCTGTTAAATATTTCCGTATGTTTGGCTACACTAAATTGTGCCCGCTACACTTTGTATAATGGATATGCCCTTCCGTCATTTAAAAAAAAATATGGCAGTTTTGTGACAAAGCTTAAATGTGGCTTTTCAAAACATCTGTCCTGTATCTTGATTTCGTTTCATGTGTTTAAACAACTCGCGTATGATTCGGCTGTCGAGGCATCTTGTAAAATGATTGGAATGCACAGTTTTTCCTTTCTACTACATCTCAGCAACGGAATTATTGCATTTCGTTTTGACACTTTAAAGCTAAGGACATTTCTCTTAAAACGACAATTGCATGCAATAGCAGAAAACTTACTTTAAACTGTTACAGAATGTTTTCTTTGAACTAAAGGGGCTGTTTAGAAGGACAGACCAAAATTGTGGAGAACTTCAAGCTGTAAATAATACCACAGCAGATATGAATTTGAGACCTTGAAGAAATGCACATGCTCAGTCTAATTTAGTCAAAGCCATAAAGGGATTTCCCTCTGGCTTTGCACATACAAATGCCTAATGGTGATTGGTGATTGTCAACTGTGTAACTTACACAAATGTGCAAAGAACAGCCGGCGCAGTCCAGAAATACACCATCAGCCTCTCAGCATTCGCTTTGTGCCAAACTCTTACAATGCTCATTTTGGGGAATAAAACAAGACTAAGACTTGCAAATATCACTGTTTAGGGTATAAATCCACATGGATACATTTTCTCGTGGTCACATCCTGTCTGATTAAAACGTCAGGGTGTGTTGGTGAGGCATGGGGTCATGTTGCATTGTGTTGTGTTACATTATTCTGTGTAGTTGATGGGATGTTTTATTTGTTCGCCGTTCCGCCTGCTTTCTTGCACCTGTGTGTGATTGGAGGTTGGTTATATTCTGATAATTACATGATTGTGCATATAGAGGAATGTAATAAAAATGAAAAGCCATGTCGTATTGGTCATAAGGGATGTACTTCACATACACACACACGCATACTACTGTGACCTAGCAGACACATAAAGACGCAGAGGTCTTTGGAAAAAGAGACACTCTGTCTTGTTTTTTTGGCTCACTTAATTATTGATATTGTACAATGACAGAATATATTTCATGCTTGTCAGCAATATGATCCTTGTATTGATTGCAGTATATTGATTCAAATTTCTTCATGAGAGAGGAAGATTTTAGTGGTTATTTTCAGGAACCGCAAGTTTGATACTAAAATAGTGTGTGCAGAATGTCCGGTGACATTTTTATGAATAATTTTATTGAACGGTTAATTAAAAAGTGTGTTGCTGAAAAATATTTGTGTATGTTTAAAATGTAATTATCTTAAAAATCGCTGTGGCCTTTTTAATTTTTGCATTTATAAATGTAAAGGATATTTATGTTGAAAAATCTTCCACTATATTCTGTATTTTGTCATATTTATTTACACGTAGCATTAAGTACACTAGCATTCAAAAGTTTTGGGTCAGTAAAAACTGTTTATGTTTTTGAATAATATGCTCACCAAGGATGTGTTTATTTGAACAAAAATACAGTAAAAACAGTAATATTGTGAAATATTATTACAATTTAAAATAACAGTTTTTTAAATATTTTAAAGTGTATTTTTTTTCTGTGATGCAAAGCTGAATTTTTAGCATCATTACTCCAGTCTTCAGTGTCACATGATCCTTCAGAAATCATTCTAATATGCTGATTTGATGCTCATTTTTTTATTATTATCAATGTTAAAAACAGATGTCCTGCTACAATTATTGAAGAAACCATACTTTTTCCAGGAATTTTTTGATGAAAAAAAAATATATTCAAAAGAACAGCATTTATTTGAAATAGAAATATTTGGTAACATTATAAATGTCTTTACTGCCACTTTTGATCAAATTAATGCACCCTTGATAAATAACAGTAAGTTTCAAAAAAGAAATCATAATGGTCCAAACACTTGCAAAGTAGTGTATATGCATAAAGTATTTTAAATTAATTTAAATAATTTACTTTTTTCTTTGGAAACTTAATATTGACAAATGAATTTGAAACTAAAATAAACCCATTAAAAATCCTTTAATTCGTTTAAATATTTAATTGTTTTTATGAGAAATCAAGGCACAAGAAATAGCATTTTACAGGAGAAATCACACATTTAATATGAGTATAGAAATGCACAGAGGTTTAGTTGGCATGCTTCTCTTTGGTTATACCACAACTGGTTATACCATAATTCTTGTATGCTATTACCCCAGTTTGTGTGATATGCTGCGTGCAGTACCTGAGTTTGAGGATGTGTTGGGGATGAAAGCATTCTTGTGTGTTGGGTGAGAGGTGGAGTGCGGGTTGGTGTGTGGGAATGTGCGTCTCTGGAGGCCCGGCCGTGCTCCCTCTCAGTGGGGAAGGGCCACGGCTCGCCGGGAGAGAAAACAACACAGAGCCGTCTGCGGGACAGAGTTCTCCTCCCTGGCTCTGCAGAAGTGGGAACGGTTTCAATTATCCCCGGCCGTACCTCCACAGACGCATACCTGAGGTCAACCCTGTGA